CGATTCTGTTAAACCACAAGCAAAAATGAATTTGCATTTCCTTCAGTCTTATTATTTAAACTTTGGTGTGAAAGGGCCTTTACATTTACATACCAAAAATAAAACTTTTTTGTTATAAAAAAACAAACAACCTCAGCCCAGGTGAGAAACCGTAACGCAAAAGTTATGTAACGCATTACTTTTCTTAAAAAGTAACTAAATAACGCAATTAGTCACTTTTTTGGGAGTGACTTAATTATTGTAACGTATTACTTTTATTAAAAAGTAACGGAATTAGTTACTTTTTTGGGAGTAATGCAATATTGTAACGCATTACTTTTCTTAAAAAGTAACTAAATAACGCAATTAGTCACTTTTTTGGGAGTAACACAATATTGTAACGCATGACTTTCCTTAAAAAGTAACTAAATAACGCAATTAGTCACTTTTTTGGGAGTAATACAATATTGTAACGCATTACTTTTCTTAAAATGTAACTAAATAACGCAATTAGTTACTTTTTTGGGAGCAACACAATATTGTAACGCATTACTTTTCTTAAAATGTAACTAAATAACACAATTAGTTACTTTTTTGGGAGTAATACAATATTGTAACGCATTACTTTTCTCAAAAAGTAACTAGGTAACGCAATTAGTTACTTTTTTGGGAGTGACTCAATATTGTAACGCATTACTTTTTTTAAAATGTAACTAAATAACGCAATTAGTTTCTTTTTTGGGAGTGACTCAATATTGTAACGCATTACTTTTCTCAAAAAGTAACTAGGTAACGCAATTAGTTACTTTTTTGGGAGTGACTCAATATTGTAACGCATTACTTTTCTCAAAAAGTAACTAAATAACGCAATTAGTCACTTTTTTGGGAGTAATACAATATTGTAACGCATTACTTTTCTTAAAATGTAACTAAATAACGCAATTAGTTACTTTTTTGGGAGTGACTCAATATTGTAACGCATTACTTTTCTCAAAAAGTAACTAGGTAACGCAATTAGTTACTTTTTTGGGAGTGACTCAATATTGTAACGTATTACTTTTCTTAAAAAGTAACGCAATTAGTTACTTTTTGGGAGTGACTCAATATTGTAACGCATTACTTTTCTCAAAAAGTAACTAGGTAACGCAATTAGTCACTTTTTTGGGAGTGACTCAATATTGTAACGTATTACTTTTCATAAAAAGTAACGCAATTAGTTACTTTTTTGGGAGTAACACAATATTGTAACGCATTACTTTTCTTAAAAAGTAATTAAATAACGCAATTAATTACTTTTTGGGAGTAACACAATATTGTAACTACTTTTCTTAAAATGTAACTAAATAACGCAATTAGTTACTTTTTTTGGGAGTAACAATATTGTAACGCATTATTTTTCTTAAAATGTAACTAAATAACGCAATTAGTTACTTTTTTGGGTAGTAACACAATATTGTAACGCATTACTTTTCTTAAAATGTAACTAAATAACGCAATTAGTCACTCTTTTGTGAGTGATCAATATTGTAACGTATTACTTTTCTTAAAAAGTAACGCAATTAGTTACTTTTTGGGAGTAAGAATATTGTAACGCATTACTTTTCTTAAAATGTAACTAAATAACGCAATTAGTTACTTTTTTGGGAGTAACACAATATTGTAACACACTACTTTTCTTAAAATGTAACTAAATAACGCAATTAGTTACTTTTTTGGGAGTAACACAATATTGTAACGCATTACTTTTCTTAAAATGTAACTAAATAACGCAATTAGTCACTTTTTTGGGAGTGACTCAATATTGTAACGTATTACTTTTCTTAAAAAGTAACGCAATTAGTTACTTTTTTGGTAGTAACACAATATTGTAACGTATTACGCAATTCGTTACGCAATTTGTTACTGTTTAAGGGAGTAACGCAATATTGTAATGCTTTACTTTTCAAAGTAACTTTCCCCAACACTGCACATTTTATGATTCCATTCATTAATACTGTGAAATCCCAATAAATAAAACGCAACATTCACACACACATGTTCCTCTGCGTGTGTCAGGTGTTGGCAGGTCTGTATAACCCGGGTGACGGTCACATCGACCCATACTCTCTGACGATGGCTCTAGCGGCGGGAGCGCGGATGTACGGCGCTCAGATCTATCCTCACACTCCGGTCACGGGCCTTACACACACTGCTGACGGCAGATGGGACGTCCAGACTCCACACGGAACCATCCGGGCCAATCGCATCGTCAATGCCACAGGTTAGGCCACACCCTCATATGTTAGGCCACTCTCCATGCTAGGTCACACCCCCATATGTTAGGCCACTCCCCACGTTAGGTCACACCCCCATATGTTAGGCCAGACCCCCACATGTTAGGCCACTCCCCACGCTAGGTCACACCCCCATATGTTAGGCCACTCCCCACGTTAGGTCACACCCCATATGTTAGGCCACACCCCACATTAGATCACACCCCCATATGTTAGGCCACACCCCACGTTAGATCACCCCCCCACAT